GCCGGGCATTTTCATGACAGCCCCACGGAAGAAAAGAAATCTTGACATTAAAATATGTCCCATCGACCCCCTGATCATCATGAACTGAGGCTGTTAGAAAGTTGCTTTTAGAGCGTAAAGCATTGCTGGGTTGGAATTTCCAGATGGTGAACAAGGTATTCTGTCAGACCATTCGCCGAAATGGACAGAACGGCGGTCTGAAAGTCCTGAAGGACAAGCGTGGGGCCATCATAGCAAAAAGACAGAACGTACTTCAGCCATATAGAGACTATTTTGACGAACTTCATAACCCTGACCAACCCTGAGAAAACTCGCCTGAAGAACAACTGACAGTGGATGTTAGTATTTCAGTAGATGAAGTCACAGGAGCCGTCAAAACTTGAAAAGTAGTAACGCTACCGGAATCGATGAAATCTATTCTGAGATTGAATATATTCAACTGTTTGTATTTGAAGCTCTAACACTTCTCAGAACCATGTAATTAATCGTCGTTATAAAGTAGTAATTTAAAAGATATGTGAAATTTGAGCGAAATATATGTGAGTAGCTTGGTGGATCAGATTGGTCGTGTGTCGAAAATGCAGTATTTTTAAGTCTTTGGCAGAGGTGTTTAGCGAATATCGAAGGAAATTTAAAAGGCAGTAAAACTTTGTGAGATGAATTGTAATTGTACCACTCACTTGTGATCTCTGAGCAGAACTTTAAGCAAAGTTGAATTTTTTTGTGCACTGTTTTGCAGTTTTGGCTTTTAGCTGGACGGCAAGCTGCAGCGAGGAGTTCCGCTGGTCATCCTGAAACAGCGCAGAAAAGAACAGTGTTAAACTTGAAATACAGTATGACCCTACAAGTAATGATTTTCAGATTTGAAAATTTCTTCCATCCCGGTCTGGTTTCGTGAAATTTGTAAAATGCACTTTTTGTTTTTGCACGAGGAGCAATGGCAATCATGATTTTATTCTGTTTATATAACTTGTTCTTCTTGATTACTGTTATGCAGTAGGGCTATTTCTCAAACTTATGTGACTGTTCGACATTTGTGTTATGCTTGAGGTGTCACGGTAGGATTGCAGAAACAAGATACGGCTTTAAATTCATGTTGGCAGCATAATATTAATAACTGTGCGTAAACATAAATAGCTGGTACTGAAACTTTGTTGTTTTCTCATCGTCAGCTGAGGTTAATAAGGCTAGCAGCGTGACCCAGATTTGTGATGTCTGACCCTTATAAGTGGTACTTGGAGTGATATTAGGTAACGCTCACTTCTGCGACAAACTTCGTGTTCCATTTCGCAAGCTGGCTTACCTCAGTGAGGAATTTCCCGTTTCATATTGTCCCCCAACGAACGCGTCTGCGGTTTGTGCAAGGTTTTCAAGTGAGAAGAATTTTGAATATATTTCCATTTTCTTTTCTGGACCATTCTTTGAATAGTGCTGTAGTGGTATTACTAGCGTTGTATACAATACCCAGTTCATGCCTAAGTTTCTATTTAAACAACTGCTATTTCGTATAAATCAAACTTTCCGTCCTTGGCGCGAGATGTTTCTATCGTGTTAAAAGTAGCATGATTGTTTGTTTTCCTTTTCCTTAAATGTTAAATATAATTATGCTCTTAGATCAGTGTTATTGTATATGGTATGGTTGCCCGTCGTCTCTTTTTAAAAATCGTGGATATGGTTACGCGTCTTGGAGTACGGTAGTAGGGTACGTACCCCTGGAATTCGTTAATAAGCGCTTGACTTTTCACAACCAAATTTTACCGCATTTGGCTTCAGGTTCTTATTCCTTATGCCGTTAAATTCAACTCTGGAAGCGCTAAAAAGTTTTAAATGCACTCCGGCTTACGACTCATATTTGTGATGTTGATGCGGCTGTGTGTAAGTAATCCGGCTCTTGCAACATCGTTCTGAGTGAACAAGCTATTGCTCTCTGGAACTAAATCATGCAAGATCCTTTAATGTGTTCTAATACGGTAAATCCATTGTCAGCCTCATTCAGTTAGAGACACGATGACGGCGCAGTAATTTATTTAAGTCGGGTTTCAGAGAGATGAAGGACTTTTAAGTTGCTACCTGTCGTTTGTGCATATTTAACCGATGTTGGCGTTTCAAGGCCGAATGTGAAGGTAAATGGATAGTTATCTGAAGTATGATGAATAAAGCGTATCAGCCTATTTTTGTGTACTTTGTTATTATTCAAATATGTCTTGACAATGAGATGATGTTGATTTTAGACACTGACTAAACTAGCCATGAGATAATTGTTGTTTGTGGTCGTTTGCGATGTCCCGGTTATTTTCAGATAGTGAACAGCCCAGTTATAAATAAGATATTGCGGGGCATTATTAAACAGTTGTAAAGTGCTATTTTTTATGAATGTTTAATTGATTTATAGTTGATTCAAAGCAGAAGAAACTTATTTACATTGGCGGAGCTTTCGGACCCTGAAACGATTAACTTTTTTAAAGCAGAATAGCAATAATAGTAACAGAACTTAATGTAATCAGTCACTAAAAGACAATGAGGTAGTAAAAGGATTGAAATAAATGCGGTAGAATGAGTTAGTGTACGGAATCAATTCAAGATCAGTGAAAGAAAAGAAAACGATTATAAAATTTAAGGTGGAATAAATGGGTAGAAAAACAAGAGTTTTGCAAGAATAGGAATTAGATGTTGGGAACTAAGTTACTTTAAACGAGATTCCACTTAGACGACATGTCATTGATATTATTTTATAATTCACGCCGTGAGCAAAAAGAGATTTGGCTATCACCAAATCAGCAGTGGCTAAGATGTTGACCTGGCTGCTTTCAATTCTGCATAGGTTGCCCTTTGCATTTCACAGTTGCAGAATGTTCCTTTCTACTCGTTGAAAAGTTGCTTTGTTTCTTCAAATAGGTTTTGCCTTCCTCTCATCATTTCATTTGAAAATTTCTGGTAGCCCTTGCACTTCATTTGGCTTAACAGCCCAGTATCGGAACGGGTCATCTATCAGGTTCGTTATATCAAGTGTTGCACGGAGTCATACTTTTCATACAGATTATTTTAAATTTGATGTTATTTAAACTGCAGAAAGAATAGAGTTGAAAATATTTTTATCAAATGTTAGAGAAAGGATATTACTGTTATATCGAGAGAAAGGGTAAAAGTTCTAATGAGATGCGGTAAATCGTGTAAAATACTTTAACTGCAATTTTTTTGTTGTACTAACGAGAGTTGAATTAGAGATTTGGTTTGTTCATAGGAAGCCATGCAGATCTTGAACATCAGTTCTGTGAAGGATAAAGAAGAAGTGCAGAAGAACTATGAACACTTGTTCGCTGCCAACGATCGCAGTAAAGGAGGTTCTTTTTATCTTCAGTCAAAGGTTTGCTTATTGGATTGATTGCTGTGTCTCTACTGATTTGTTATTTCGAGGTGGTGAGGGCCAAGGAACGTATCGATGAAGAACTGAAGCACGCAGGTGAAGCAGAACCGAAGTCGTCGCAGACCTCTCAGCAAGCGCAGTAGACAGACTCAAGGGACAAAGCAGCTAGACAAGATTTTATTAAGTGTTCAAATCAGAAGAAAGTTGACGATTAACTTGCAGTTTTGGAAATAGAAAGTCAGCAAGTTTGCCAGAAATTGTCCTTTCTTGATTTTGAACCGTCGGATCTACGAACTATCCCAGGACATGTGTCCAAGCGAAGTTATGGACTGGTTGAGTTACCTTTTTTTGCTCTTGCAGAAGAATGATTGATTATTCGCTGTCGTTTCTTGCTAATGGTTCTTGGTTTGCCTTGACAGCAATTTATGACCGGTGCTTTGGTGATTCTTCGCTTCTCCTACAGAATTATTTTTGTCTCGTTAAAGAATGCCGTGTCACCGATAGCCCTTCAAATTCAAAACTTTGTTAATTGTTTTCTCAGCCTGTTTTTGTGTAAAAGACTAGATCAGGTCTGTGTGATCAAGCGATGGGCTGACGATTCAGCATTCGATAGGGTTTAGATGAGAAAATGTTTTAATTGTTGTGGTATTTTTGTTCAGATGGAACCGTTTGTTGATATCCAGCGACATTCTTTTGAGTAAGTTTAAGTTTCCACGAAGAGTAATAATGAAGGTGCCTAGACGATGGATTTCTGGCTGCATGATTAAATCTAAAGTTTTACAGTGTTAAGTTGGGCAAAGAGTTTAGTCATATGGTAAAATCATTTTCACTGAAAGTCGTCCAGTCTGTGAAGATTCTAACCGTGCAGTATGTGGTACACCAGCTGGCCAAATAGATTTTGTATGAAGCGAGAGAATATTAGCTTAACGATTAATCTTCTGATTGCCGGTTAAAGAAGCACTGGCAATAACTAATTCGGTGATTATGCATTCAAAAATATACCATTGATGTCAGTGACCTGCTGATGTCAGTGACCTGCTGTATTAGTCCCCAATGGATGTCAGTGACCTGCTGGATTAGTCCCCAATGAACACACGGTAAAATGCTAAATGCATGGAGATGCTTATTATTCAGCGTCAATTTATTATTAAAATATTGGAATTTTATTAGTAATGCATCCGTTTATTAAACCGTTTAACGCAGGAGCAAAGTTTCGGTTTATGTTGCTGGCCTTTAATAACTGCATAGAGCATAAAATCGTATGGTCATAAAGACTCTCAAGGTGCAATTAGAATAG